TAGATAGATAGATAGATAGATAGATAGATAGATAGATAGATAGATAGATGACAGATAGATGACAAATGATGTATAGATAGATAATGAGATGGACACACACATGTGCGCGTGCACACACACACACACACATGCACGTCCATTTGGCATAAATGACTCTAAGTGGTTTACAAAATGTTGGTCATCTCTTATAACTCTTTCAATAAACAGTTGGTGAAATTGTTTCCCAGAAATACTTAATGAACTGATGTACTGAAATGGAAATCTTTCCGTTTTTAGAAATTGAAAAGCCATAGTCTATTCACAATTATAGCAACTCAATCAATTAGCTCAAAAGGATGTCAGTGGGATTAAATAAAGAAGTCAATGAAGTGGACTGCTATTTGAAATCAGAGCCTGTTTACAATCAATCTGGCAAATTTGTCTTTCATATATTGTCTCCAGTAAGTTGTAATAAAATGTAGGAAAGATTTTGGAGGACTGGACAAAAGACATGCTGCCAAGGGAATGGTCAGATAAGAGACAGCATAACCCACAGCTAGATAGTGGGTAGGACAAAAGAAAAGGCCCATCCTAGTTTCTCAGGCAGTAGAAGGGATGGGGGTGGGGAGGATAGGACATACAAGATTATATCTATAGCATTGCAAACTAGAATTAACTCATCTGGTTGTGATTCCTAACTGATTTACCCAATGAGGTGGACAGCAGCCAATATATAACAGCCAATCAAAAACAGAACCATAGGAGACAGAACAAGTCAACATAGGCAAGAAACTGCTAAGAAAATATCTATCCTCTCTAGACTAATTCAAATCTCTAGTATTAGATGGATTACATCCCAGGCTTCTGAAGGACTGGCAGGTGTGATCTTGGAACCACTGAGGAACATCTTTCCAGTCTCCTGGAGATAGGGAAACTACGAGAAGACTGGAAAAGAGGGGATGTGGTCCCAATATTCAAAAAGGAAAAAAAGGGGGGAGGGAAACAAAGCTACAAACCAATTAGTTTGACATCAATACTTGGAAAAAGTCATGGGAAAAAATCACGCAGCAGATTTATGAGTACTATAAACAGGTAAGGCAATAACTAGATGCCAGCAGGGGGTTGCTAAAAACAGCTCATGACAGACAAACCTTATTTCTTTCTTTGACAAAGTGACTAAATTAGTGGATCAGGGAAATGTGTGGTCATAGTATACTTGGACTTTAGTAAGACAATTGACAACCTACTTCTTGATAAGTCAAAATAGGCAAAATGGTAAGAAAATAATACTGTGAGGTAGACAATACTACCACCACTTGGATTTGCAATTGGTTGACCATTCGCACTCACATAGTTCTGTGAGGGCTAGCTGTATTCATCCCCTTGTTAAGGGATTAATACCACACTCCTCACAGAACTATATCTACATGGAGGGAAGCATATAGTGGAGTACTTCCTATGCCCAGTAGTCTTCAACATCTTCATAAATGATCTAGACAAGAAGGATAGAAGAGGAATCCATCAAATTTTCAGATGACGCCAAACTAAAGGAAATAGCTAACACTTTGGAAGATAAACTCAAGATTTTGAAGGATCCTGACAGACTTGAACACAGGGTCCTATCCAACAAAATGAAATTCAGTGGTGAGAAGCGTAAGGTGCTATACTTGGGCAAGAACAACTAAACAGGTATACAATAGACAATATCTGACTCAACAGTAATAACTGTGAGAGGGATCTAGGTGTCCTAGTGGGCCACCACTTAAGTATGAGCTGTGTGTTGCAGCTTTGGAAAAAACCAACAATGTCCTATGCTATATTAACAGCAGGATAGTATCAAAATTATGAGTAGTGATAGTGTCACTTTAAACTGCACTAGTGAGACCATCCTTGGAATAGTGCATCCAGTTTTGATCACAACGATACAAAAATAAGATGCTAAGACTTTAGAAAGTGTACAGGGAAAAGCAACAAAAATAATAAGGGATCCGGAGGCTAAACCATATGATCAATGGCTGAAGGAACTAGGTACATATAGACTTAAGAAGAGGGAAGACTAAGGTTGACATGATAGCAGTCTTCTACTTGAAAAGCTCTGTCTTCTCTTGAAGAGGAGGTTGACTATTCTCCAAAGCATTTGAGGGCAGGACAAATAACAGATAGAAAATCATTAAAGAGAAATCTAACCAAGAACTAAGAAGCAATTTCTGGAAAAACAATTAATCTGTCTTGCCTCCAGAAACTGTGGGTGCTCCATTACTGGAGGTTTTCAAGAAGAGATTGAACAACCATTTGTCTGGAAAAGTATAAGGTCTCTTGCTCAAACAGATAATTGGGCTAGAAGAGATTAAGGGCCCTTCCAGCCCTGTTATTCTGTGTTTTGTGTTCTATGTATACTTGATCAAAATATGTGCTTCTTTACATCTGATGCACAAATTCCTGAAACACAGGGCATAGTCCAAACATGTGGACAAGGGCATGTTCTTCTTGTTTCTTCTTACTGTTGGCTGCTGATGCTAAAACATGAACATTTTTTACCTCCAGGATGTTTACATGAATAGGTAGAAAAATTCTGAAATGCTTTGTATTTGGATTTCCATTCTTTTTTTCTGTCCACTTTCTTTCATAGTTTGATTTTGAGAAATGTCTCAGCTTGGTGAGAAGAATGCTCCAGAGAGGTAGCAAATATTTCTGTAATTATCAGTGTGAATACAGCAGATTTGTTAGTATTATTAGAGACCAACTAAAATAAGAAGTTCTCACTTTTTTCTTTCCAAGTAAGACTACGTTTATTATTATTGTCTTGTTTTGTCTTTCATTGGTCTTACAAAAAGCAGGGGATTTGTTCCTGTATTATTCCAATGGTTCCTGGATTGTTTCATTTTCGCTTGGCACAGGATGATCTGAACCTCCAAGAGTGATTTGCCTGTTTCTAGAAATGACTCTTCCTGAACAGGAAGCAGTGGGAATGCATTTATCGCTCTTCTTCTGAATACATGTAGAATTTTGGAATATTTTATAATAACTTCTCCACTAAAAAGGACATAGATGTTAATTCGTATAATCTAATATTCTAATGCATAGATTTATGCCTATTAGCACAAATATAACTACTTTTTTAATTCTGGGTTATAGTCAAATAACAAAGTCTGTAATATAACCTTGGGAAAGTCTCCTTTTTCTTTCCCTATATCACTCATCCTAACAGAAGCTTTGCTAATTTTTGCATAGACATATTGTCAAAGAGGACTAGGGGTGTCTTGACTTGGTGATAAAACTGAGTAATATAGTTGGCATCATGGGTTCAGAGATGATATTCAGCAGGTTCTGACCAGTTCTGGTAGTGGAAATTTTGAGTAGTTCAGAAAACTGGCAAATACCACTTCTGACTGGCCCCATCCCCATCTATTCTCTGCCTCCCGAGTCCCAGCTGATCAGCTGGGTATTCTTTTGTTGCCCTGCACAGGAGAACAGAACTGGAAAGCAGGTTAGTGGAGTGGGGAGGGAATGGGATTTTGCAGTAACCTTCCTCTCGAGTGGGGAGGGAATGAAGATTTTACAGTATCCTTCCCCTGCCACGCCCACCAAGCCTCGCCCACAGAACCGGTAGTAAAAAAAAATTGAATCCCACCACTGCATGGGTTGGACTGTGTGGCCAGTCCCTGGCACAACTAATATAAACAATACTTGTTATAGGGTTCATCTTCACATTCACCTAACTAACACTAGCAAGTCCTCATGATGTTGTCTCAGCTTAAAGACAACAAAAATGTATCAACTTAATGTTGTCTATGCCTGTTTTACTTTAATCATAGCATTTGGTATATAAATTGGATGGAGGGATGGAGGGATGGATGAATGAATTTTGCTGTCTTCTCTGCCAGATCCTATTGCCCACTTTAGGCTGCTAGTAGCTTGTCCTTTCTCTTCTGTTTGTTAGGGATTGCCATTTTGAGACAAGGCCTGACATTGGTCTGAATAGTGTTTCCTGAGAATCAAAACCAACTCCTGTGGCTGGCTCTATGGAATTCTTGCTGCTGCTGGGGCTTGGTTGTTTGCTTCCAGATATTTTTGATATTACTTTGTTGGATAATAAAACATCTGCAAGCAAACAAAAGAGTACCAAGAACTTACAGTTCAATCCTGAACTACATATATTTATTTCCAGTGTTCATTCTGGAAGCAAAGAGTTGGAGTTCATTATGAACATGGAGATGTTGCTACCCTGCTCAATGATCTTCTTCTGTACACTGCCAGCTCAGATCACTCAATGCTAGTATTGCCATTCCCTTGCAATGCTAGCTAAGATTGGCTTATAATCAATCATTCCTTCTCACTTCATCCCATACCACATTTGCAACCTGTCAGCTAGGACATTAATGGAGACAGGTTGAGTGCTCTTCCAAATCAGAGCTAGACTCTACTCAGATATGGTACAACTGATAGGTCATAGCCTGGGCATTTTCTGATCAGGAAAATTGAAAAGTGGTACCACTGAAGTATCTTCTTCCACCCCACCCATCATTCCCCCTTACATGTTAAGGAAAATGATTTCCTTAACCCCCACCTTTGTTATCAGTGGGAGGGAAATGAAGTTGATAGACTCAACCAATTTATTTCCCTTTTTGTCTCATGTTAAAAGTGTAGGAACAGCACACTAGCACACTCACCAGCCTCATCACTAAGGATTCAAAATAGGGTCCAGCCAGGAGTGGGATCTGACTGGTGTAACTACTGGTTCGGTGATTTACAATTTGCACGTGCATGCAGTCA